GCGCCGCCGCCGCCCGCCACAGCACCGCCGACCACTCCCCTACCGCCGCCGCTGCCGCTGCTGCCGCCGCCGGCGGGCGTCGTCTCACGGGCAGCAGTAGCATTGGCTCGAATCGCCGGCAATCCCACCAGCCTCACTACTCGTCACCCCCGGCGGCGGCGGCGGGGCCGGTGCCGGCGGCGGAGGCGCGGAGGTCTTCCTCTGTCTTTGGGGAGACGTTGCCGCCGGGGGGTTCCGGGGGGGGCCGCGATGGCGACGAGTCCTTCGTGCCCCGGAAGTTCGAATTGCGAGAGGGGCTGGTTCTCGATGGTTATATGGGGCGGTAGTGTACAGGGTGGAGGCGGGGACAGTGTACGGCATGACATCTGATGTACGGTTCCGTTGGAAGCCGTTACATCGACCATAGGTAACGGGCAAATGGCAAGGATAATGGTGTCGATGATGATTATGATGATGGTGATGGTGTATGTGGGATATGAATGTCGCCGTCGCCGTTGTTATTTTATATCTGGACGGGTGTGTGTGTGCGTGAGGGTGTGAGAATGTGCCGAAGCTATCCTAGTCGCACTGCTGACGTGTCTTTCGGGCAGGCAGGAGGGAGAGATGGCGCCTCCTGAACACATAACGTTTTCAGCTGTCACGCTGCCATTGTTTAGAATGATAGTACGGCACGGAATATGCTGTATGGAGAAGAGCACATGGCAGGTGTGTGTGCGTGTGCATATGTATGTACGTATGTATGTATGTATGTTACAGGGTGGTTAAGCTTCACCAGCGGCCCCCTTTCCCGAGGCAGTTCCTCCCCTGCTAGAGGGGCACTCCCCTGCGAGAGGGGCACCCTAATCCATTCACCCCATCCGACTTCAGAATGTATTCGTTGGGTTCGGCAACTCACCACCAGCATCCAACCAAATCTAGCGGATCAACGGCGCCTCAACTTAGTTCCTGGTCAGCTCGCAAGTTGATATTATCACGTCCTATATCGTCCATGTGATGGGGGGCCACCTCCCATTTCATCACCCCTCATATCCGAGGGGTCGGCAGGCGGATTTGAACCCGGACGCTCCTATGACTTAGATTACACTCTATGACTTAGAAGAACACAGACAGGTGCATGACCTATAGAACAGATCCTGTTCAAGTACGGTCTCCTATGTATGTATGTATGTATGTATGTCGGGAGGTTTAATGCTTGCGGCCTTGTGGGTCACGTGTCCGGTGGTTCGGTGGTTGACACACAGGGGTGCAGGTGAAACGTCGCCAGCCCTGGAGGCAACCGGGAGCCTTAAACTGGGGTCACCGCTGCTACTGCTAATGCTACTACTGCTAATGCTGTTGCTGCTAATGCTGTTGCTACTATTGCTACTGACGCTGCTAATGCTGTTGCTGCTACTGCTGCGATATGTATGTGAAAGGCTGAGTGATGTCAACAGCCAATGTGTAGTCAACCAATACTCGACAGGTAGGTAGGGCCAGTGGTCCCGGATAGGGCAGTGGGGAGCTCCTACTAGGCTTTAATGATGATGATGATGATGATGATGATGATGATGATGATGATGATGATGATGATGATGATGATGATGATGATGATGAGGCTCGTGGATAGCGGTGGATACTGGATAGGTTAGGATGGCGGCTGCAGCAGGAGGAGGAGGAGGAGGAGGAGGGAGTGAGACATTTGTTCCAGAAGTTGCCAATGCAGCGTGTTCATCTGTCTACCTGTATGTCCATCTGTCCAACCGTGAGGCAGGTTGGCTCCGAACAGCAGCAGCAGTAGCAGGCGGCGGCGGCGGAGGAGGCGGAGGGCTTTGACGCGCATTGTGCTTGTATTGGGAGAGGTGGAAGCGAGGCAGAAGCCTGGGAGGAGAGGGAAAGAGAGAGAATGTGTGAGAGAGAGCCGGGGGAAGGTGTCCGCGTGTGCCTGTTGGTATGTGTTTGTGTCTATTGTGAAGCATGCATGCAGGGTTGCGTGCGCGCGCGCGTGTTTGTGGGGGAGAGAGAAAAGAGAGCGAGAGAGCGGTGCAATGTCAACATCATGATGGGGGTAATGGTGTCTCTTCAAGAGACCAAGTTGGTGCTATAAGATCCTCTTGATGTGTGGTAGCGATGGTGGGTGATGCTATACACGCAGCAAAACATATTCATTCCCGAACAACAAGGACAGAACAGAGGGGGTTATTGTGACTCCTTCGTAACTACTTGGGGAGACAAGGGACTCAAGGCCGAGTCTGGCGGGCGGGCGGGCGGGCACTGGGGGGCACTGGGGGGGCAGACGGCGGTGCGTAGTTTGAATGGGGGTGACATGCTACTGCGATTGCTACAGCTGCTGCTGTGAGACCGGGTGTGACTTGTAGTTGTGCTTGCGTAACGAGCTAGAGGAGCTGGTAACACGTGCTAACATATTAGCGATATGTCACACAAACCGCTGGAAGGGGGGAAAGGGGTATGTGTGACAGTGGTAAAGAAAGGGCTGTAAGAGGAGATTTGGAAAAAATACAGTTGGGGACCTGTCATATAAGTATATGTGCTGGATGACATATGGTAAGGAGGAGTAATAATGCCCCCTTGAGTTACAAGTTCTCCCCCTCTTTCAACACGAAACACATGCTTCTCACAGCACAATTCTCACACCCGATATACAGATCTATCTATCTATCTAGATGCGCAGCATCATCAACAGGATTGTTGGCATCGAGTACAACAGTTCGTACGTATAGGAGAACGACAGCAGGATGTACAATGTACGAATCAGTCTTGCATGTACCTGCTGTATGGCCCACTCGATCTTAAGGAGCTATTGTTATGTCTTTCAGTTGACGAGAGGCTCTTCAGAAGCGTCGTTTCTCTTTAGGCTATCTCCTGTTGCACTAAAAGTTGCTCTCAGCTCACACACTACCAGCCCCAGTATATCAGTAAAAATCAGCTCATTAATTATCAAACGAATATGATGTCCAGCAGCAGCGCCATCCCGATTGATATTATCATCCGCAGTGACATGTGATGTCATGCAACATCAAGTTGCACGAGTTGGTGTACATGTACTGCCGTACAAGGCCCACCAGGGAACCTGCAACCCGCTGGTCGTCACACATACATACCTACCTACCTTGTATCATGAGACCTTTGCACATTGGCAAATACCTTGGGCGCCAACGTGCGTCAACATCCCCGATACTTCTCGCCCCCTCCTTCATATAGTCAGCCGCCTTGTAGCGCAAAACCGCCTCATAGATTCTACAAAGGCCATCGCCCCATCCCCATCCCCATCAGCCTCACCATGGAGCCGGGCATGGCAAGGGTATGTTGCAGTCAGACTGTCGGAAGGCCGTTTGGTGGCTGGATTAGCGCTTTTCCCAGCCGCAGCTGCTGTGCAGCTGCATCCTTTGGGCAGTGGGCAGCTAGACACCCCAGCTGCCCATTCACAGCTCTTAAAAGTAGAGCAAATCTTTGAGGCACCGCCCATAATGATATCCATGGATAACGTATTTCAAAAGAATGCTTATCATCCTTTTCCCAGAACTGACTCAAATCTTTGATTACTAGTGAAGGGGAAAACACATGGCTTTGCAAATATCGTTGGAAAAACCGGTTTTACAGGTTTTCCAACGATATTTGCATGGGACGCTGGCAGGCCGTACGGCCCGTAGGTACTTAGGAGGATAGAAGATCGACATGGCTTTTTGCAGACTGTCTTTTCCCCAATCTTGCCTAATCCTGGAGTATCCGTCTACCTTCGGTATCTGCTTCAATTGTCGGTACTTCGTCTTACCCTACGGTTCTGTTGATACTTGGGAGACTTCCCCGGGTTGCGATATGTGCGTTGCTGGCAGATGGGCAACGGAAAATTGCGATGATCTGAATCAGGGGCAGGAAGTGGCGAGGAGGAGGAGGAGGAGGATGCATGAGTGAGAGCAGTGGATGGGCACATGCCGCGTTCCTCACCCGCCTGTGCCCCTCCTCTTTCAAACCCTTGGCGGTGGTGGCCGTGGTGGCGGTGGTGATAACGGTGACCGTCAGCTGCCCCTGTCGCGCCCCGTGCCGCTGCGTGGCGCATTGCGGTACCGCCCCAGGTCGGATTTAGGCATGCAGGCTAAGGCGCGGTGCGACTGGCGGTGTGACCGGTCAGGAATCTGTGAGTTGGAAAATTGGGGGCTATCACAGGGATTAGAGATTGAGTTGCTCATGAGAGTGGATAGCTGAGGGGGCGTGTGGGATTTACGATGAACCGGCTTATATCCGATCTGAGCTCAAGCTGGGGCCACGTGCTTTACGGGTACAGGTGCGCAACATTTAGCGGAAAGCTCGGCAAGGGGTCTAGGCAAAGCAGTTGGGGCCCATGCTGCCCACCTTGAAGCATATATACTACGGGTGGATCCCGAGGGACGTAGATCGGGGGTTTCATGGCCGTACATATGTGTGTCTGTATGTGTTATGATCTTCAAGCTGATGAGGTGGACAGATGTGCCCTAAGATCTGCGGTTGGGCACGTGCAAGACATGCCAGGATCCCCATGCGAAGGCTTAGGGCCACCTAGGGCATCTTGAGCGCTTCCATGCTTGCGCCTGCACATTAATCGGTCGCAGGAAAGGCTCAACCACGGTCTTAAGGCTAAAGTTGTTCACTCTTACAGTTGTACCCGCATGGATTGGCCCCACGGCTGGGAGCGGGTTAGGGACAATGAGTGCAAGAAAAAAACGGTTAACCCCCTTTTGGGTTTTCCATGTACCTTCTCAATGCGTCAGATACTAGTTGGTACTACCATGAACAAAGTCCCATTCCGGAACTGCGCCATACCTCTGGCGGGAGATCTATATCTTTATGCGATAGACATCCAACGAAGCTACACCCTACCTGCTATAAGCGTCCCAGGAAGCTACCGCCTACTTTCCCTCCTTTATTGGTCCTCAAACAAAAGCAACCCTGCAAAAGTCGAACGCAGTGGAAGTACACACGAACGCCCGAGCATCGTACGCCATCGCTGCCTGCGCCACACATCATGTGCCATATCCTGCATGAACGTTAATCAACTCGTCGCTCACAGCCCGACCCTGCCACATAGCAATGTAAGGCGCGCGATATCTAAAGAACACCTCTTGCACTGCGTATCTCACTCCACACATGGGGGCGCTGCCGTTGGATACATCGCACTGCGTCTAAATATTCGCACTTGAAGATGGGGGTCGGCAGCACTATGAAAGCCTCACCGTGCCGGACGCAGCCACACCGTGCATATACTTTGCTCAATGTACAATCTACGTTTGCGCCAGCGCCGTTAAGATATACAATACGCAAACTGCGGCCACAAAGAACATCTAAACCACCTGCAGCACACCCATGCTCTCGGCTTGCTACTCCTGCTTCCACTTGCTTCGTGGACGGGATTGGATAGGTCTCTCTGCCCATTGTAATATCTTCAGTGCATGCTCCACCTACCAAATCCGTATGGGCATCTGAACTTCATGGTTGCATCCTCGCGGAAGGGTAAAGCACCAACATTCGCCATTATGCTCATCGGGTGGTTCGCTGATTTGTGGCAATGCCCCCGGCAATGCTATGGCTCACTGTCAGTTGCCCAGATGGCTGCAAGGGCCGATAACAACCCGCATGTCGAGGCACAGCGCTGGCTTTCCTTCAATGCAAATTCACCCAGCCCAGGTTGCCCGCCCTGTTGCCCGTCACCTGCCCCGCGATGGCACCGTGAAGGCGAGGGCAATTGCACCGGGGTCTGCCTCGGAAACGGAGGTCATGGTCGCGGCACTCCGGGCAAGATTGAGAGTACGGGCAAGCGGCAGGGGCAGGAGCAGGCGCCTGAGGAAAGGGCGCTGCGCCGGCTCCAGCGGATGTTGCAGCGGTAGACGTGATGGCCTGGACGACAAGCGGGAGCAATAGCGTTATTGTTTCGACACGGTAGACATGTTAAGGCACGGCACTGTGTCCCTGGAAGGTTTCAGGTTCAAGTGCGGGTTGAATTTCCTCGAACACTATCACACACAGTTAAGGGATATTGCACAAAACACAAGGGGCGTTAGGCTTCGCTAAAAGCAGTGAATGTCATGCAAAAGCACCCCGTACATCAGCTTAGGGCGTTTCTAAAATGGGGCCCAATGCGAGGATGTAACAGCTGGCCGGCTTACCCCAATGCCGCCGCTTTTTGTGCCGGAGTCTGTTGCAGTGCCAGCAGCGGAGGCAGCCCGTGCGGCCGCGGCGCCAGTCAGCACCCGCTTGCGTGCGGTGCCATCGGTATTGGTGCACTTCCAGTACGACGGCCTGCACGAGCAACAGGATGCAATGCCGAGTAAGGTGGAAACGTCAGGCCCGGGAGTGCTGCCACACATAAGGAATTTAGGTAAGTTGTTATGCGCCGGAATCAATTTATCCACACCAGGCTGATCAGGCTAGCGTGGAAGGCATATTCCAAGTTCGGTAGCATCCACATCCGAAGCGAGTCAGATGATGAAGGTAAGCAGGAGTACAAAATTGCAGGCACTTGAGGCCCAATGGCCCTTCACCACCCTAAGCAAACACCCTGCACATTTAGGTTTGCCTAAATACCGCCTTGCCCTTGCGCGGGATGCACAGTCCGCAGCTATACATTCATCACCCCTAATGCGCGCCTGCAGCCACTCTCAACGTCAACAATAACACCTTGGGGCAGCGGTTGAGTTCTCACCGAAAGCCGTCCAGCTGGCAGTCGCAGTAGATGCACGTGGCGCTGAGCGGGTTGCACATGATCATGTTGCCGCATGTAATGCACGTGCTCTCCTTCGCATCGTACAACACGCGACCCGTGTCCTTGGTGCGCTTTAAACCGTCAGGGGCAGAAGGATCAGGCAGCGGCCGCGCACGCTCGCCGGCAGTGTCCCATGGCTGGCCGTCAGCGTCCGGCACAGTAACGTGCGCCGTGGCATGAGCAGGGCAAAGTACACAAGTGTGAGGAAAGGGGCGGTTGGCAGCGGTGACGGCTGGCATAACTCAGCCTTAAAGGTATAACTTAGCGACGAGAAAAGATGCGTGACGTTGCACAGCAAGTCGCCACCTCAACCTCCAGATGTAGCAGGGCCCAACTAATGGCGAGCAATTAAAGCACAGGTGCCCCTCACCGCTCCAACCATCCCATCCCTCTGTCACCTGTTCCTTGCCACAGTGGCCGCAAAACAGCCGAATAGTGGCGGCGCCCGGCACCGGCTTGGCGTCCAGCGCCACGCGCGCAAGCGCCCGCTCCAGCTCCGCCACCACGTCCTTGCGTGAGCGGCGCGCCACGCCGCTGCTGGACTTGCTGCTCCGCGCGCCAGCAGACTTGCGACCAACCTTCCGTTTAGTTCCTGCACCACGGCTGCTACGCCTGGCCGACGTGCCCTCCTCGTTATCACCATCCTCCTCGCTATTTTTGCTCTTACGGACCTGGCCCTGCTCCATATGATCTTCATCAGAACTGGAGACGGTCTCGGGCTCCCCGCTGGGCGTAGCGGTGCTGTCACCCAAGGCACTGCCGTCCAACTGTGAGTCGGTGTTGCTGGGCGACGGGCCGGTGCCGGTGTCGGAGCCGCTGCACAGGGTTGCTAGCTCTATAAGCGGTGGGCCGGGCCTGCGGCCAATAACGGCTGCAGAGGCCGCTGCAGAGCCGTCGCCGGTTGCAATGGCAGGCCCGGAGATGAGTGCAGAGGTCTTGGGCGGTTGCTCCCCACTGCCGGCATGGTTGCTGCCGCTCGCTGCGCTTTCGGTAGCACCGGCCGCCTTTCCATCCTAAAACCAGGCAGGCGGGGTGCACACAAGTCCCCAGACGGGTGTTGCTAGACAGGGTAGAATTCTTGGGATGCTCATGTCGTCGTACTTGCAAACTAACCTTGCTCTACCGGCTAATTGCTGTCGCTGCTTCCCTCGCATCTGCAAAGGTCGGCATGCTAAAACAGATACGTGTCCCCCTACGTGAGCTCCTTGTGTGCAAGCGTATAATCTGTAACCATTTGCACTCCAATACAGAATTGAGTCATGAGGCAGAAGCATGCAGACACACGTCACGGTAACATGGCCGCGACAGGAACTCACCACCCGCGGGGCTGGCAGGTCGGTTGCGGCTGTGCTTCGTCGCCGTAACCTCACGTGTGCCGCTGCCACAGCGGCGGCTTTTCGCCGCGGGTCTTCCACCTGGAGATTCCAGTGCCGAGGCCGGTCATGGCGCGACGGGCTGCGGTCGCCACTGCAGCCATAGCCACGGCGATAGTCATTGCGGCCGCAGTCACGGAGGTCCCGATGATCGCCACGGCTGTAGTCCCTGGCTTGATCTCTGTCACGGTAGTCACGGCGATTGTGGTCGCGACCAGGGTAACGGTCTCGATAGTCGCGGTAGTAAGAACTGCCGTAACGGTCTCGATCGTCCCTGATGTGATCGCGGTCATTGCTGGCATATGCCGACTTGTACGGCTTGTGCTGCGAAGCAGCGTAATCCTATTGCGGTAGGGCGAGCATAAAGAGGTAGTGTGTCTGCATGACAAGCGCCGCGCGCGCACTCTGTAGATGCTTTCGGGATAGCATGGTATGGGCGTTGGGCGCTGGGATGGCGTGCTGTGACCGTTCATCGGATGGCAAGACGAAAGCCTTGCATGAGGTGAGGCCGGAAAACTCACAAGGCTTAAAAAAGATAGCCCGCCGCAAGGACAGAACACCTAGACTGCCTACCATGTCTCAGGTGGTATGACCTGTGTGACAGGAATCCTTCAATCGTGACTATCGCACGCATCCACACAATCTGTCGGTAGCACACAAACACACGCACCTCGCGACGCGCTGGGACGTCCGTTTGGCGTTGCGGTGGTGCGGGAAGCGGCTGGCAGGCGGCGCGATCCATGTAAGGCATGTTAACGTGCCGACAGGGGACCGGCGGTGGGGCAGCATACTGCGGCTGGACCGCTTGCGGCTTGATGCTTTGGCTTGGTACAGTCTGTCTACAAGGGGCATGCTTTGGAGCCACCTGGGTACTGGTGGCGGTGCGGTCTCGACTGGGAGGAAGCGTACTCCCGGCGCTGATTGGAGGTGGCGGCGGCAGCGATAGCGGATGCACTGTAAGGAGTGGCGGCGGTGGGGGAAGTGGTGGGGGCGGCGGAAGAATCTCGAGCGGTGGAGGACCCGGTGGAAGCGGTGGCATTAATGGAGATGCTGGCGGCGGGGGTGGTGGCGGGTAAGGTGGTAATGGTGGCGGCGGCGAGTAGGGCGGCAGTGGTAGAGGCGGGCAGGAAGGCAGCTGGGGGGCGGGTGGTGGTGGTGGGTTGGAAGGGTGAGGTGAATCTTGGGGCAAAGGTGCCAGGGTGCAAAGAAGGGGAGATGGGTGGATTGGCTGCGGCGGTATGGCTTGAGCTCGTGCCATGGGCGGCTGATGCTGGTGACTATTACCTGCGGCATTGACGCCGCTGGTGACCATGCTGCTACATGTTGCGGCACCAACCGCGGTATCTGACATCGCTGAAGCCGCAGTGGCAGCCGTGACTATGGCACCATTGCCACCTGCGGTCAGCGGCCATGCACTGATCGAAGGCCACCAGCCACGGTGACGGCTGGGTGTCAGGGTCCCGGTCGTGAGGCCTGCTGCTGTCGCTGGTCTGGATGGCTGCGCACCTTGCTCGCCAAATCCAGAAGACTTCGACACCTGGCGCTCCGCTTTAGCCAGATCGCTACCGGCATTTACGTTATCACTTTTGCGAACAATATTGTCGCCACCTTTGGAGGCTGCGTGCTTTGGTGAACTAGGTAGAGGAACAGTGGCCGCAGCAGCCAAGGCCGTAAAGCCAGGACAAACTGCTGGCGATCTTGTACCGACGACTGCGTTGCACGGTCGATTCCAGTTGATCGGGGGTGCGGGCCTCATACATGGTAGTGGTGTCAGAACCCGGATGTTGTAAGCGTAAGGGTGTCCCTCCCCGTATGGACGGTGCAAACTGTATTGAACATCTAGTCCAACACATAAGTCCAGGTTGGGCAGAAGAGACGGGACGACAAACGCCTGCTGGGCGAAATGAACATCTTACATCGCAAATCACTGTAACGAAAGGACCATAGTAACAGCCATAGCCTTACCCTCGAAAAAGGGATTTGATAGTAGCGGCCATCACCGAACATACTCGTGATCATCCCGCTGCAGTTTTCATAGTGCGTTATCCTTCCACTATGAATCTCGTGCTGGGGCTGCTGATACATGGCCCTCAGGAGCTCCACAATATAGGACTGTGCCCAAGGTAACAGCAGCCAAGCTGGATGTGCTTTGATACCTAAATCGCAAGCAGCTACAAACCGGTCTGTCGCCAAAATGTTTCGGGCACACGTCTTGATTCCGCCAGGAGTACTTTATCCAAATTTGTATTTGTAATTATTTTACAGTCCTGCGACGCACTCTGCGCCTTTAGGAGTTTGGCCCTAAAAGCAGGACGATTGGATCGCGAATCCATAAGTTCCGATGCCGTGCGGGTAAAGATGAAACAATATCCAAAGCTTGTATCGAATTGTTATCATGGCGAACATGGTAAATCTTGGAGCTTGTTTTATGTTTAGTTCTGGACTGTTCATCGATGCCGGGGCCCCTCCTGAGTTCTCAGGAGTATCGAAGCTGCTTAGGCTTATTGAACACGTGGATTCGAATGTCATTGGGAAGGCGCGACGCAGGGTCCCAGCGCTGCAGCCGATTGTGACCGTGGCAGAGCAACAAGACCTCCCGCCAGGCTCCGTCCCTCCCCACCGGCTCCACATCACGCTAAGCACGCGTCCTATCTCTCAGCCATCTAGTGCCGGGCGACTGCGAACAGGTGGAGGGGATTAACTGCGGATCAAAGGCATCGTGCCTTCCAAACCCGTGTGTATAACCTCGGATGTCACTTACGCAGAAGCCTCCTTCACGGCACGGCTTTCGCCAAATGCACGACAAGCCTCACGTCTTTTTGAGCGAGCGCAAGGGACGGTGGGTACCTACTAACCTTGCTGGTCGTGCCGTCCCATCTTCCATCCGCTCGCATCCACTGGGCCCTGCACTGTCGGAGACTTATCCTACCAGCACGCCTATCACGAGACCACTCACCACGTAAGGTAAGAGGGCGTCAAACCCCCTCTCTCTTCTCTCCGATCCGCCGCTGCCGCCACCCCAGGCATCCGTGGCCACTGGTCGAGCTCGGATACGTGTGGATGCCGAAACGGAAGATGGCTCCTGCGGCTGCTCTCTGGAGGCCAGCACGGCGCTTACACCAGGCCAGTCCACGCCCTTGCCACACGCCCTTGCCTAGATAAGACAAAGTTGCTCCAATGTGCCATCCCTCGCCATTTCCTTCTCGCAGCTCAGTACATTACGATGCATCTACTTTACAGCCTTTGAACCGGACTGATTTGACCAGTGCAAGGCTCCACGGCCGACGGCAGCTCGTGAAGTGCAGCTCTCCGCTTGACTGTGTGATGGGGCTGAGGTGACGAAGTTCTGTTCGGATGGCAGGACATGGCCACGCAGTTCAAGGCCCATATCATGGCGCCATATCTTGGGAGCCTGTGGGGTAGAGCTTGCATGGGTTACAATATGCTCTACCTGCAAAGGCTGTGCAGTTCTCTTTGCTCCTCAGTACCAAATACTTCCAGCTCCCACATGCCAAATCAGTGACGGCTGGTGTAAGCAACGCGACCCCTTTAGCTATCAGGGGCGCTTAGTCGCCATCCCCGAGTCCTCACGTACATGCCGCAATTTGTGTTTCCTTTCCAACAGTAAGTGGCATGAGGGGCGGGACAATAGAAGAAGAAAGGACCTCGTGCTATGGCGCTCCCTGGGCCCGTCTTATGCATGCAGGTTTGTGGTGTTCAGCGGTGCTTGGGGCAGCCAACGGAGGTTGCAGCCCCGCCTGGGGAGGCGCGATACACGTCCAGCCCTGCAGGCGCCTGGTGCTGCAAACGAGGTAGGCACGGGTTGAACCGGAGCGAAGCGCTGTGCTGCGCTTCACAGAGCCGCCGCTACTGTCCTTAGCCTCTGCTATTGTGAAGTCAAGGGTCAAGGTTCGCGTACCCAACGACATCTACAGAGCACCGCATGGCATTATAACCTTTTGGCGATGAAGAGACAGCCGCCATGTCCAGCCGTGCCATTCGATTGGCTAATGGAAAACAAGCTGTGGCGGTGGTATGAGCGGGCCTCGGGCTGCCGGGGCTGCTGAGGCGGCCGCCGGAAATGAGGGGCCGTGCTCGCACATGCTGTCCATCTCGCAGGTTTTTCCAGGACGCGGCCGCAGTGCAGCAATGGCATCTACAGGTGGGATCCGCACATGTAGCGTTTCTGCAGGCGCAATGGTAGGGCGTTTAGCCTTACGACTGACCGCTGGGGCTTCCTTTCTGGCTTTTTCGCTTTTTTCTTCATTTTGGAAGCAGTTGCTGGTGTACATCAGAGCTGCTCACATGGGCGAGTTTTATTGCCACATTGGTGTCGACACCACGCAGGCATGTGCACGCTTTAAAAGCGCCGGGCGTTAGACGGCGTCCGCATTAGAACCACTCTATTCGTCTGCATGGCTGTCGATGTTTCCCCTACTGCTCTGCTGAGTGTTACAGGCCCTTCTGAAGCTCGGAAGTCGCGGCCGGCTGGTACCGCACGTGACAGTGTCCCAAGAGGACGTGGCTGACCGCATCAACGCGGTCGTAGGTTGCAGGTACGGGGCTCGTGGATCGGGTTAGGATATCCAGGGTCCTGGGTGCGGTGTCACACCGCCCGAACCCAATCTGGTTAACATGTATCCCACCAACTTCGTACCTCGTCCCCTTGTTTTCCAAGGCTTAAGCAACTTGTGCCGACATGGGAAACAGGTGAAAGTTATGACTGCCACTGAAACGCAGGTTTGAACTCATGGCGTCCTCTGCGTATTGCAGAAGCGAGACACGGCACAACTTAATCACTGAGGCCATGGCAACAAAGTCTGAAGAGGAGACGTTCCTGCACCTGGATGGTTTAGTGCACATCCCATATGCTCAACCACATACCTTCTCATTTAATTGGAGGTGTGACAATGGTCTGAAAGGCGGGCAGACGTTAGAAGCGAGCTAAGCTCCATATACGGCATTTACGGCAATACGCGCCGAGACTAGTTTTCGTCTTTCCTCCAAATTGTTTCTTCTAAGCTTTGGTTGTTGCGG